TTACAAGGGATAATGGGAATACTGCATTTACAGCATGCAGTGGGAAAGAAATTCATGTTCCAGATGGCACACTTGAAAAAAGTATGGCTTAAACCACTTACACTCAGTGACAAAAATCAGATTATCTGGCAGCTGATAACTCTAGCTATCAGGCTAGTTACATTTCAGACGTAGGGGTATTATATACAAGAGAATCAGTTTGACTAGGGGGAAACCAACTGGCAATTTCTGTGCTGGGAGGTTTTACACCAAAGACCTAAGACAGTCCACACTTCAGGTGTACAGCAGCCTGGTGTTTTTCAGGGGTATGAAGATTAGACAATTAGTAGGAAAGAAGGAAGGCAACTTCATCTAAAAATAAAATTTTTAAAATAAAATTTTTTTAAGAATAAAATATTACTACTAATAATAATTACTGGGGGCTTGTAACAAAGAAGGACCTGTAGTGTGGATCTCATGAGGAGCTGTGACAGAACAAAGTCCAATAGACGTAGGAAAGTTACAGTGACAGGAGTTGGCAGAGCTGTTCTTGATGAGGCTAAAAACCACAGAAGCTCATGTCTTGGAGGCCATTCCTGTAGCTTTTTACCACCTAGCAAGCCAAGGAGAAGATAGAGGATTATTGCTGTTGAGACCGATACACTCTTAACATGAATTAGCACATCATGATGGGTTTCCCCTAGATAGAAACAGGGGAAACTAATTATGAGCGCAAACAAGGTCTTCTTGAATCCACGGAGCTGAGGAACAAATCAGTAACAAGAAGTAGGCCCACATAACTGTGCTTAAGAAATCACGCATGCTCCTAATCGAGTTTGGATATAATGTTTAAGTGTGCTTATGCATCTTGCCAGTGGTAAATTAAGAAATGCAGTGAGATTAAAGATAAGCTGATTATTATTTACAAAACAATCTTCTGCTTCTGAGAACCAATTATATACAATCACAATGGCCTTCTCTTTTGAACCAAATTCCAATGCTATATATTACAGAAGTTTCCTTTTCTCCCAAGAAAGGACCCTGCAATCCAAACATTTAAGAAAGGTTCTCAGATGCTGCAGCCAGCTATTAACTACGGACCTTTCCTCTCTCTAATGGCCTAGCATCCCAGTCAGCATGGATTTGAGTGTTTTTCTATAGAAAAGCTCAGTCATTAATGACATATTTCCATTTAAATTGGAAGTATTAGATATATTTTCAAGATTGTTCAGAAGGTAAAACAGGCAATCCCAGTTCAAAACTTAAAAGAGGAAAAACAATGATCTTGATAAAGCTACAGGCCAATTTGTATTTATGGTACATCTAAGAATTTGATTTTGCCAAGATTTCAATAGATCAGAAAACAGATAATTATTATAACTGACATGTCTCATCTTACATCAAACACGGGTCTCTCTTTTGAAAGTGGAATACAATAATCAACAAGTAATCATAACAGACATAGGTCAAGCATTTTTAATGACTACTTAATGAATGATAACAAGAGCTATTAGAGAAGGTGAGTTTACCTATCTCTTTACATTTTCAGTGCAAGTCTTGCCGGTATACAGCAGTTTGAACCCAAGGAGAAAATGCAGTGTCTGCCATTGATGATGTTTTTGAAGGCACAGAGATTTCTTATTGGCAACTTTTCTTTCCCTGAGTCCATATTACGATAGAAATAAGACACAAATTTCATTTATTTGGATATTTTTCCAAGACTGCGCTCCTGAAAATTTGTAAGACACAATAATAAAAAGTTCGCAGTACTAAATACCTTAGCTTAATTGAAAACATTCATGTAACTACACAAAGATTTTGAATTTCTAACCATCCCAATTCATAAAGCAAACCTTTTGAATTTAGCAGTAAACCGTCCCATACTCCAGCCTATATCTAAACTCCAAATTAAATGTTTTCAGTAGTACAGTATCTAGCACTTGGATACCTAATAATTTTTTTTTAGATCTAGGGCTGCTGAGTGCAGGCAAGAGTCACTAATTACTATGCAGTACAAAGGATGGTAGCAGGTAACAGCTGGGAGCTGATCGCTAGATTTTGGGGGTATTGGGATATACTTAAATGTTAACATTCTGAATTGCAGCTATTATGTCCAGTCACATATTTAAGCTTAGATTTTCACCATCAGCTGCAGAGATTTTTGTGTGTTCTTTCAATTAATGCTATATATCAAAACAACCATCCCCAAAGACGAGAATATGCCCAACAGGTATGACCTACAGCTCAGCTGGAATTCAGGTAGCAGATTTGATTCTAAAAATGGCATATTTCTTTGTAAGCAGAGAGTAAAGATTGGCCTACATTTTTAAAGAAACATTTAGTTTGTAATTTAAAGACGCGTCAGGGTGAAGCAGCCCTGCCTGTAAAAGTTTCCCAGCATCAAAGAGAATGAAAACCCATTATTTTAATACATAAGTACACTTGGGTGTTGGGGGACTATTACACACTTCAACAGACAGTATTGACCTATCTGGATATTTCAAAATTTCATGTGGTTTCTTCAAGGGTCCTAAGCTCTCAAGGGTCCTCAGCACTCAACTTTCAAAGCCCTATTCTTCTACACCTCATTTCAAAACCACTTTTATCCATTTCTATTATCTTTTAAAATCATGTGAATAGGTATTTTTGCTGATCTCTCTCAACCTAGACATAGAAAAAAGATCTTTTTCAGCCTGTGCTTTGAGGGATGAAAAGAGGGAAGAACAATCTTCTGTTTCACAATAGAGAATGACTGAGATTTAACCTGACAAACTATCGTTCCTCACTGAAGCTTAGCAATGAGCAGCAGAAAAAAAAGGGGCCTGCTCTAGAGCACGTTGGCTCCTCCATCTCATCCCTGACTGCAAAGCACTGGCTGGAGAGAGGCAGTTAGACAAGGGTTTGAGTCAGGCTTGCTTCTATCCCAAATAAATCATTCAAAAAATAGGTTGTTTGTGTCTGTCTTTCCTCCTGCCTGCCCTGGCTTTCTCATCCCACTCTGGGCCTGAGGAGCTCTTCCCTAGCAGCACCTTCCTGTTCTGATGAACAAGCATTTTCTGGTGAAGTTAGCGGAGAAATTCCAGAAGAGCTCTTTCTACGGAACCTGGTCTAATGGCATCATATTGAACTCACTTATAAAGAATGAACAACAAATCCATCATACCCAAAAGCAAGACATTCGGACCATATTCACATTAACGGAATGCAAATATTGAGGAAGGAGAGTCCAACGGGCAGGGCACTAGTTAGGAATTCAGAGTGTTTCTCAAAGCCTGCCTCTCTGCCACTGCTGTTTTGTAAGATAAAGATAAGCATAGTTAAATTTACTCTCAGTGCAAGAATGTGTCACCTGTGAAAAGGGATAATAGACTTCCTTTCTTCACAGAAGCCTTTATAAATGTTTTAAAGATGATGAGGCAGCTCAGGTCACTTTGGTAATTAAGGAGAGTTTCAGTAACCAGGCATCTCTGAAAACCAGAGTCTTCTGCTTTACAGACGCAACAGTGGGACAGGTGGTTTTACTGAAACCTTTAAAAAGCCTTGGAAACTGTAGTTTCATAAATAATTCAGCTGATGGTCTGCCACAACCAAGCCTGCCAATTCTGTGGATTATATACCTAACAGTGTTTGAAGCTGTTACAACTACCTATGGGCTAAACAAAAGAGCTGTCAAAATTATTTCACCTAAAACTCCTGGTTTTACTCAAAGAAAATTCCAGTAAAGAAAGCAGTAATATTTCTTTCAGTTAGCTTTCAATAAACTCATATTTTTACACTTAAACATCCTGGTTGCCAGCTCTGATCACAGTCTGCAAAACTTCTGATGCTTTTCTTAAAGCTCCAGGTATTGAGGACAAATAGCTATGTGAGAGTTACAATTCTTACGTAAAAATAGTAGTAGTTGTCTAATCCTTGTGGCTGCACAGGAATCATTCATTATAATGGCTTAAAGTTGGTAGTTAAATATCGCAGCCTGCGGAGACCACCCAGGCTTTTGGAAAGCCTGAAGCATGCAGTCCTGAAATTTTACCCAGATGATCTAAAGGCCTAAGTTCATGCTGCTGTAATTCTGTTATGTAAATTATACAAAGGCCCTCTTTACATAAACCATAGGAGTCACCCCAAGGATTAATTTGGCGCAGTGCCCTCAGTGCGGGGCTTGGGTGGAACTGAGTATGTGTGCAGCAGCTCTGCAGAGGTATCACTGCAAACAGAACTAGCTCTTTCCAGGGACTCTTTCTTTTTGTATTGCCTTCTACAATGAGCAAGACATGGCCTAATAGTAGCGCCCTTGGCATATTCATGTCAGAGCTAAATTACTGTGACACCTTCTCATTCTTTGTGGTTAAAATCTGTCCATTCATTCCTTCATGCTGATCTCTGTTTCGTTCTGTCTCCTTACTATGCAAAACCCATCATGTGCTGGGAGATGAATCACTGACTTTGCATTGGTTTAAACCTACTTTAGCCCCCCTCTGTGATGGCATAAAGCACTACACCAACTGCTGAGTGTACAAAATCACAGTCTCTACAGTTAAATCCACCTTTCACAGCAGGTGTATACCATGGCTTGCCCTGGGTCCTAATCAGTCCCCATACTGTCCAGATCATGGCTCCACCTGGGTCGTGCCATGAGATGGTCTTCTGGTCTAAATGATTGGGGTTTGCCCCTCACAGCAGTGGGGGCATTGTGCCAGCTCATGGCTTGACTTGGGATTATCATGTCCCTGGAAAGCTCAGAACTGAGGGTCATTCCTAGACCCACTAGATTAGCTGTAGTTTATGTTTAACAGAGATTCTTTTATCAGACTATATGCATAACGTAAAACCAGTATTTTAGCAATAGATGCCATTTGTAACCACTGCACATCACGCTGTTGAATCTCAAGTCTAAACATACCTAACAGATGAGGACTCTCAAGGGAATTAAGATGACTAAAGGGTCAGAAATGAATAGAAAATAAAAATAATAAATGCAAAATATTAGACAGAATGTTTACTCTGCATGCTGACGGCCTTACCGCAGTGTCATTGGTGGTAATGTAAACCAACACGTCTGAGTTGTTTCTGCTGTTAATGTATCGGTAACAGTTCCACACGCAGCTTATCAAGTAACCCTGCAAGAAAAGAGATTAATTATGTGCAGAAAATACCCTATATAGATTTTTCTGCCATAGCTTTGTGTAAATTCTTGAACCTGGGCTGGTTAAAAGTCCTGGTTTGACAGTAATAACAGAAAGGAAAAACATTTACTGTATGTTCCACACAAAATCCCCCCATCCCCCTCAAAAACAGTTGCTAAGGAAGAAGGGTACATATGTTTATTAACTATTCCTTTTGCTAGAGAAATCTCAGCTTCCTACTTTCTTTATTCCGTGCCTTTAATGAAAGGCCATATCACAAAGATAGCTTTCCATAATGCACTGTAAATTGTGTGCTTGCCTAAATCTCTTGTGATTTAAGTGACAGAAGAAACAGGCGGAGCAGTGCAGAGCACAGAGCAGAGTATCACGCTCTTCAGAGCTCCTTTTAGGAACCAGTGTAGTTAAACAGTAAAGTGCAAATATAAACAGGGATATGAGTCTGACCGAAGCACAGGACAGTGACTTTGCTTGTTATAGTTGACTGGAAGGATGTGTAGGGATTCACTAAGTAATCTGACGTCCTTCCTCTTACTGAGCAAGAATTTATGGAGAATGTGTTGGACTAAGTGCTACCCAGTTTAGGCAGATAGTACAATCTAGACCTATTTGAGTGAACTTTACTATACCAGATATTTCATGTAGTATATTCAATTTAGCATAGACCGATTGCTTTGAAAATAGCAATTTCTTTGGTCCTGAATATAGCCAAAGTAACACCTTTTTGTGTATATAAAGTCTATTTTGCTCAAATGAGCAGGTCATGCATGCTGGCTTTCTTTTTTACTCCTCTCTATAAATACAGAGAGATATGAGTTCAACCAGACGTCTCATTACTGTGCATAGGATACTGCAAAGCAATAGAGGGGGAGTTTTACAATATAAAGCAAAGTATACGTCAGACCACGACTAACAGGAGAAGGTGCTCCGGACGCAGCATGTCTGAGGAAAGAAGGTAAAAAGTAAACAGAAACCAATTTTGAGAAAGTGGAAGCAAATCTCAGTAAAAGGAACACGAGCAAGGTGGGAACTGAAGAACCATCAAGCAAGTCACAGAAACCCCCCTCCCTGCCCTTGTGAGTGGAAGCCTGGCCAGTGACTACGGGACTAAGAAGCCAGCGATCCTAGATATCATGTGCATTGTTCTGCTACTCTGTTTCACTTAATCTGGCATTAATTCAATGGATTCCATACGACTGGAATGCTCTGGGGTCTGACTATTGGAGCCTGATCAGAGAAAACTGCCTGCGTAACCGCTTTTATTGAAATCTGAAATTATTTCTGACCTTTTAGCCATTATTACAAACACTTAGTTTTTTCAGTATAGCGCACAAAAGTTGTCATTGCAGCAATAATCCTACTATAGGGCCATAAACTTCACTGTTTTTGTTCTTGGAGCTTACTTGGCTCAGGATAGGGCTGCTGCCTGGCAACGAACTAGTAGCCTCCATTTTTTAAAACTGATTAAGAAAAATGTTCCTATCCATCATTTCCTCTGCCAGCAGGAGGGATTCCAGCATGGCCAGAAGAGAGGAACAAAGTGGCTGGAAGGTAGACAGGAGGCAGGAACTCGTGGAGAAGCAGGAGTCCAGATCCTCAGCGTGCCAGGAACAAGGCTGGTGGGACTAAGCAACTGGGTCACTCTGGTGCTTTCTGCTTCTCCACTCAAGTGACAGAGAGAGCAATGCACTTTAGTAGTGCACAAAGATAAGTGCCCAACTTATCTTTTTAATTCTGTTTAAAACTGCTCTTTCTGCGTAACAGTTCCTTCGCAGACATAGTGTGCACAAATTAAACTTCCAGCGCTGATTGGATTTGCATGTGCATCGCAGAGTGAGTCATACTTTTGTGACTCACTTGCACTGATGACCTTCCAAAAGCCTCTTATCCTCTTTAGCTGCCCTGTGTTTCCTCCCTCTCCAGAGCTGTCACATATGAGCTGTGTGTTTCAGGATGCCACATGACTCACTGATTGCTTCCTTGCAGATCAGGAAGGAGTTTTTCCACTGGGGCTGAACTGGCTGAAATCTAGTTAAGTTTGCTTCATCTTCTTTATGGCATCTTATGGGTCCTGGATGATTTGTGTCATAGACTTTGGCAATACTTTTAACACCAAATGGAGAGGACAAAAGATTTCTGGAGCGAGCTGAGCCCTAAGAGAAGGTTAGACTGGCTCTACATCCCAAGTTACGGGTTATGTAAGCTTGCCATTGGCTACTGAAACAACTGGTGTAAAGGCATACAAACAAGGAATTGAGTCTTTTGTAGAATCAAATGCCATTGTAGTTTAGTTAATTATATATAATAATAAGTAGTTCAACAGCTTTCAGCGCTCAGATACCACGCACTGAGGAAGGCATAAGAGCTAGTAGACAATGGAGCACTGAATACAGCAGACTTCTATGGAGACACTGAACCCATCTTTATAAAAAACCCTTGTCCATTAAGGCTACCAATTTGCAAACCAATTTCTGTATTTCTTTTGTTACAATCCAGTCTTAGAGGTGATCAGTTTCAGATAATACAGGCTTATCTGGGAGAAGCTAACATGAGATTTATTTTTTAATTCTCTCATTCTGTTCTATGCGGTAAATAAAACATGTTTAACACATGTCACAATACACATGTACAGCTGTTCCATCACTGAGCTCTAGCTCTGCTCAGCCCTGCTGCCTGACTGCACGGGCTGTCTCTCAGTGGGCGAGGTCCATTTCAGCGCTTGAATTAAAGAGGTCATCAGTTAGCGCATAGCAAGTACTTGGCTCCAGGGCACTGACCCATATACATCTGAGAACAGAGGCAGCTCAGACCATTTCACTGTCTATATGCTCTGGACGTGTGTTCTCGGCCTGCTAATCACGACTCATGGAAACTCATTTTACTTAAGATGTACTGACAACCCTGTAACTTTTTCTTTAAACTTGTACCTAATCACTGTTTTATGGTGATGTTGCTGCATCGTTAAATGGAACTGCTGATTTAGTTACCAAATTTTTTCCTCAGAGACTTGGATGGGGTTTCAAATGCTACTTTAAAATGTGCAGCTGGACAGCACAGTGTAATGGTCTTCCCTTCAGAGACCAATGTTCACATTTGCAATAGGCCCTATGTAAAAGGCATTACATGACCTCAGTCTTATCCTTAGAGGTATTCACGACTACCACAACACAGGCTGCAGACAGACGCACTTTGCGGTGGCAGCCTTCTTTCCAGAGGAGCACAATGAAGTAGTGACCACTTGAAAGGACGGGTGCATTGAGAAGGGCTTAGTGTGGAAACAGGCACCGTGCCTACTTCCACCAGCTTTCAGTCTTTCCATTTCAAAGGCAGTAAATAACTTCAGCCTCTAAGGAACTGAAACCCACAAAATTTTATAACCTTGCCTCTCAAAATAGTTATTTCATATGCACTTGTCAAGTATGCATAACAATATTAATGTACTGCACAACTCCTACTCATCAGACATGTGCCTGACCAGCTGCTGACCAACATGTCTGTGGAAAATAGAGGTTCCTGCATCCTGCCATTTCTTGCAACAGCAAGGAAGAACCTCTGACAATCTGGGTCGCACCAGCCCTCTGGGCAGTTCCTTAGTTAGCAGCCAAGCACAGGGCAAATGCACAGAGTACCATTTTAGACTCCACTTGTTCTGAATTTTCTGTCTATTTACAAAGCTCAGCTGGTCTTTATTACTGATAAAAATAAGATAAAAATTCCTACACAAACTGAACTTTATCATGAAGGTTTCAGAGGGGTGCTAATGAGAGATCAGCTAGCCATTCACATTTCTCATTTCAACGTTGCAGGAGAAGAAACAACACAGATTTGTGAAACTGCTGTACTGATGAAATCTGCAATTAAATCTACCTTGTCAGCACAATAGAAAGTATTCCTTGTGAGTACGAAAAGGCTGCTGAACAAGAACCATTCTTTGTAACTGCAAAGAAATACTGCGCTGATTGAAAAAGAATTAATATAAAACCGAACCATGGGCCTTCAAGTTTTTAAATAGCACCTTATATGGGCCAGGGCATCATCTGTTGTCTCACTATCTCACATATTTGGGGTATGTAACTTAAATCTAGTGACCCATGCTTTAGAGAGGCTTCCTGCATCTCCTGCAAGTACTCTGCTTTCAGCAGGCCCAGTGCTGGGACCTCTGCCAGCCTTGCGTCAAGAGAGTGGCAACGCCTCCTCGCTCGGTGCTGGCTGCTCCTGGGTGTGGGAACCAGAGCTTGGTCACTGGGGCCGTAGGTTCACGGTCGTGATTGCTGCTCCACGTGCCAGGGCAACACGTCGCAGGCCAGAGTTAGCCCTGCTGGCAGGATCCCACCATGCTGAGATAGTGAATCTCTCAGGATGAGGACGAAACTTCATTCTGCACCAGCCCTTCCTCTTTGCTGAGGACACCCGGACACACACAGTGGTCACGTAGCCAGGCTCAACGGTTTGTACATGCGGCCTATATGCATATTACAGGGACCAGCGTACTATTTGCTGTGCTGGAGATCAGCTTGTCTCCCAGGAGTACCTTTGGGCTGCCTCACTGGCAACCACCTCTTCCAGAAAAAGAAAGAAGGGTAAAAAAGGGAAGAGAGGGTATGCTGTGCAGCTGAGGAGCGCTCAGCGCAGCTTGGGGGAAGGGTTTATTGCAGCTGTGTTTGTGCTCACCTGAGTTTAGTCCATTTATGCACGGGGGGCTTTGCCCCAGATTGGGGGGCGGGGGGGGTGTCTCATCCTTTCTATCCTGGCGGCTGGGGATGGCCAGAGGAAGCCGTGGCCCTGCTCCCCAAACCAGCTGCAGACAAGAGTGTGATTCAAAAGCCACTGTGCTGGTTATATGCCATCCGAAGTTGCTTGTACATATATATAAAATACATTTATGCTGCTGGATGTTCTCCCTCAGATAGATAGGAAACACCTATATTTCATGGTATGCAACTCTTGGTTCAGTTTCTAGACATACACAGTAAGTGATATAACACATTTTGGTCCACTGTGTTTTCAAAAAGATTCTACGTGGTGAAACCACCTGAAATAACCATTAGCTGCTTGGGATCCAAGTGAGTAACTAGGATTAAAATGACAAGTGCTTCTGCGTGGTTAGCTGACTTTACTATCCCCTCCCATTGGCCCTTTTTACAATGCCATGATTGCAAGGCACAAAGCCACCATCTAATACATGTGTATCTTCATTTCTGCTCAGTAGTGCTTTCCTTTGCATGTAGCCACTCCTGAATTATAGTGTTATGATGCCAAGTATTTTTGATGAATTATGTGATTCTGATTCATATTTCCCACCAACTGAATGCAGCTTTTCCTAATGTAGCTTTTCCTAGGTTACAGTGTTTTGGTTCCTCTGGTCAAAATCCAGAGGGAGCTCGAGCACATTTTTATGCACAGTACCATTTCAGTTTCAGTATATAAACCTGGAGCCATCTGTTAAATCTATCAGTGATAAAGTGTGATGCATCTAACAGTGCCCAGCTTTCTTTTCATGTAGCAGATTCCATAAATCTGCATAGCACCTCTTCTGGAAACGCAAGAAATTCAAATTAAAATGACAGTGCTAACTGGAGTTTAGCGGCTGTTTCTGCGTGAGTCATACTTTTTGTGACTCACTTGCACGATAATATGTTGCTAGAATGAGCATTAAGAAAAGCAAGAGTCTGTAATAACACTGGCTGTAAAGAGCTCAAATGAATACAAGAATGGGATATCAATTAATACTTCAATCAACTAGCCACTTCTATTCTTGGAAATAAAGGTATGAATATGCGCTAGCAATTTTAAAATAGAATAACTCTTTTGCGCTATCAATTTCTTAGGTTTTCCTTGTTTCTGTAATAATAAGCGTTTTTGCCATTTCAGTTTTAGTTGCTTTTCTTTACAAGCTTGAGACAACCTTGTTATATTTATCCAGTGAAATACTAGACCCACTTGGGATAAACAGGAGGTAATCTTTGCACATGAGAATTTCAAAGAAAACGTCACTTGTGTCATCTGATAGGTCTATATATTTATTACATTTACGTATATTTCTTAAAGGTGCAACTGTACTGCTGTGCACATACATTTCATGCAACGCCAGTAGGCTAAATGATATTTGTAAGGCACAAGAGAAAACTGAGTATCACTTTCAATGGCATCTTAAAATATCCTATCTTTTGTTTTCTATTTTGAAGCCGTTTCAGTAATTTAATCTACCCCTTTTGTCATAATAACTTTCCCTTTTCATGTATTCAAGTCTGTTGTTTGTAAGCAATACCCCAGCAGTCATCCTGGCACTTCTGGACTTCTCTAACGTAACGCATAATTGCTCTGCAGAGAAAGGGCAAGAATTATTCTGAAAAGAACCCAACACCGCACCAGAGCAAAGGTACGTGCAGTGCAGTACCCTGTCCGAGGCTCAGGGGACTACTTGAGCTATAAGTGATGTTTTTTTCATATGTGAATTTGTCTAATCTTACTTTACACTCTTTTCGGACTTCTGGCCTGCGCAGTGCGTGAGGTCGACCTTGCTGTGCTGCGAACCTGGTGCAGGGGTTTCGTGCAAGCCCTTTCCGGCCACGCCGGGCGAAGCTGCAGCTCCCCTCACCTGGAACCTGCCACTTCCACCTCTCACCCTCGAGTTTCACCTGACAGCAAATAAATCGCTTCGTATTCCCCTTGCCATCCTATGTGACAGTCCTGTACGTTTTCCCTCCCAGGAGGGACAATTTGAATCTATCTAGCTGTTCCTCATACCAAAACTGTTGCATACTTCTGATCATTTTTGCTTCTGTCCCTACGGGTCCTGCAACTCTACAACATCCTTTTTGACACGGGGCAACCAGCTAGGAGAGAATGTTTGCTTCAAAACATCATTGCATTGCAGACATCAAAACTGGCATAGTAATGGCTTCTGGTTTGTTTTCTATTCCTTTCCTCATATTCTTAACGCCTGTTGTACTTGTTTGACTGTGGCTAAGCATTAACCTAATATTTTCGCAGGTCTATCTATTATAAGATCCCTTATTTGTGGTCCCAAGATCCCTTTTTTGGGTGGTCACGCTCAGTTCAGAGTCCACTGCAGTGCGAGTGAAACAAGGACTGTATTTCCACTATACCATCACTTAGAATTTATCACCATAGACTTTCATCCGCCCTTTATTGCTCAGTCACTCAGTGTCCTGATACCCTGCTGTAACGTGTCTATCGCTTTGCTTTTGTAAACCCGTCAGACTGCCTGGTCTGTAGTTCCCTAGGTCCCTTCCGGAGCCAGGTCTCCCAGCAGGGGACATTTCACCCATGACCAGAAGTAAATTTTATACACAGTAATGCACTTACCTTAAAAGCCAAAATGATACTTATGAAAAGAAGTATAATCACAACCAGACAGGTTGGGTTCACAGACATGATCTCTTCCTTGTAGGAAAAGTTGGTGGGCTGCATAAGCAAAAACAAGGAAAACACTGTAAGTTAATCTCAGGAGTCATTTAAGAGCCATTCAATTAATGCACTCTGTAATTAATAGCTTACAAGACTTCTGATGTAGTACATCAAGAGCCCTTTGCGTGAATAACCAGTTTCTGAAAGTCTGGCTGGAACAGGCAGTACAAGGGGTGCAAAGACTCAGCCTGCCCAGGGCTCACTGGAGGGCTGAGGGATTTGCTTTTTGTTTGGTATATGTGGTGGGTTATTTTTCCTCTGTGCACATTTGTTTTGTGCTTCAGGTCCTTCTGTTATCTCATATATGAAATAGAGGTGATATAAAATTCTTCTTCCTTAGAATAGGCTCCAGTGATTTACAACTGTGAAGCACTTTAGGATCGCTGGCTGAAAAACAGCCTGTAACAATGTTTTACTATAATCTTTATGACTCAGAGAAAACGACACCACAGCCGTCTCTTTAAGAGGAGCGTTCCAAATTGTTGTGAAATACTGCAATGCACAACTTCCTGTTTCAGTTAGAATTAATTATGGTTCATAGCTGTTCTCCACAAAAGACAACTTCACTGCAACACCAGTCATGGCAGAAGAACGCATTAGCCCCTTCTATACACAACCCCCTTTGCCTTTGCAGGTCTAATTAAGCAACCAGGTCTGCTCTGCATCCTTCTCCGGACAATTAAGTAGAGGAAGCTATAACTGTGTTCTCAGCTATGATACGGTAAATCCAGAGCAGCTCCTGAATACCGCTTATACCAGAGCTTCGCCCAGTGCTTCAGGAAATTCTTTTCTGACAGCTGTTAACGAGAATCGTTCTTTAGCGCTTGCACGAACTGTTATGAGCGGCTCATATCAACAGCTGCTGTAACCATTTGAAGCTAAATGTTACATAAGCACATTTTCTGCTTCTTGACAGCAATGTTTCTGTTCTCGTATTGAATTTCATGACTGAAGTTTTTATTACTTTATCTTCTTTGTCAAGGTCCAGCTGTTGTAGGCACCTAGCTTACTATAATTCATTGAGTTACTTCTTTTTTCCCACACAAAAATGTTTATATATATTGCTAAACATAGCAGATGCAGTCACCCAGCAACCAAGAAAGTAAGAGCATATGTCAATAAAAGATGTACTGAGAAATAAGCACAAATATTATATGCAGAAAATTTAAGAATTAATGCCACAGCTGATCCTGCTGCTTGCAGTAGCGAGGTCACATATTTGGTTAGAAACTACCAAGACAGTCACAATACAACTGCTCAAATACAATTTCATTTAGCACTGACCAACTATTAACAAAATTAGTCAAACCAGATGGGAATGGAATAAAAACTCCTAGTGAGGCTTTGGCCCCGTTTCACTCCGGTTGTGGGGAACCTGTCACCGGTCTAAGACGGGACGACCAACCTGCTGGCACTCTGTTCATAACCTCATGGCCTGTTTCTAGACCCAACTCAACGGGGATTTACCCAGAGGTGAGAAGAGGGTGGGAAAATGACCAGTAGAGCCCCTGCTGCCCTAAAGAGTAGGAGCGCCCGCTGCGGCCACGACCCCACGGTGGCCAAGCTCGCAGCAGCTCCGAGCTCTCCCTCGCATCCGCTGGGTTTCAGCTGCAAGGACGATAACTCGGCCTTGAGAGCAACGAGCCAGGTGAGGATGCGAGGGGCGAGCGCTGCGGTTTGCGTCGTTTCAGCTCGGCTGGCTATTTTTCGTTCCTGAAGAGATCTACCCTGAAGGGAAGCCTCAGCACGGCCTTCATTTCAGCTGAAAGTGGGTAGCAAAAATGGTTCAGACAGATCACTGTCTAAAAACACCCACTGTTCTCCACCGATGCTGGCGTGACTAGCTCAGGTAGGGAAGTAGGTGTATGCAGTGGGGAGGGACAAATTTCCCTCCCTGCTCCTGTGCCACAGGTCTGGTGTCCATGGTGAAATCAGGAGGTGAAATCCTGTCCTGCTCAGGACAAGTGCCTGGCGAGGGCACCGGTGCTGCAGCTCCGTGGACAAGCTCTGTGTCAAACGTTGTGTAAGATTTGATGAAGCTGAGACAGATATCCAGCAGGGTGGGGAAAATCAAGCCCGTCATTAGACATACAGGAGCGATTTTGCAGTGGGACATTAAGCAATTTTATATACGAACAAAAAATAGTTGTAGCGGTGTGGGACTAGCATGCTAAAGTCAACATTAAAGTGTCATTCGTCATATTGTCATGGACACTGAGAGTGCTACAGACATAGTAATTAACCTGGTGGACTTTCAACTCAAAAAAATTACTGCTCACACATAGCAAAGTTCTAGTATTCACTTTAAAAAAAATCTAAAACCTATATGGAAAGGATACTATTTGCACATTGTACAAATCCACAGCAAAAATAAAGAAACCCAACCCTCTATCTCCATCCTATTCTCTCAACCTCTTTGCACTACATTTCATATTTGCTTTCTGCTTGGAACCCAAAACACAGAGTGGATTCTCATTCAGCAGTTATAATCCTCTGGGCATTAAAATCTTAAGAATTTAAAGAAAACAATAACATGCCTGTAGAATTTTTTAAGCGTGCAATGAATTTAATTGTACTCCTACTTTGGAATTATAACATGACATTAAAAAAATAACAGGGTATTTCCCTATTTAAGATATAGTTCATAGGAATAATGTCTTTTAAGTTCATTCTCTTTTACATTCTATAGACGTTCCCCTAGAATTTAAAAGCAAGACTGATACAACCTTAAATTGTTAGGCAGCAGTACGCCAGCTAGTTGCAGAGTAAAGCTAACTGATATACTTTGTTTGAAATTGTCTTTAAATGAACTGCAATAGTTCAGTACTTTAATTACAAACACGTTTGCATAAGTCAGTTGTAGACTAGCCTGTTCCGCACCTCTGGTTTAATTCCTTCTGTATGCTGTATCAGATGATAGAAGATTAAGTGTTTAACTTTAAGGTTTTAGGAAGCACATATATCAAAGATTTAGTGAGGATAAAGAACTGTGCTTTAGGTCAAACTACTTTAGACCCCTGCTGCTCCAAGAAGCAAAGTGATTTTTGTTTTTTACATGCGGTATTTACTGTAAGGGAAGAGTTTTTTGCCCTTATAGTGACAGTCATAATGTCCAATATAACCTTTACAAAGTTTCACGCCATATCATTGCCGTACATTTCAAATGCTGGATTTGTAACAGCTACTTACTTTACATGACTCTTCATGTTGAGATGTTCTCGAAATTTATAGGTATTGTGACACACCTGTGTGCAACTAGATATTAGAAGGCAACAAAAAGTTTCCAAAGATGCTTGCAGCTCTGAAAGAAGCAGTCAGCATAGGCTGACATTGCAAAATAGCCTGCAGTTATCATGTTCCATATTTTAGAATTGCACCATTTTTAGCTAGGGCTCAGCTTACACTATTGATAGGTACTTTATTTATTGCCCTGCTGAAAGTACATGGAGCATTATACAGTAGCTTCCAACTCACCACTGATTGATAGACTTAAATCTGTGCGCCAAAGTGAAAAGATAAAATAATTCCAGATACTAGCATGGGGGAATAGAAAAGGTTAAAAACATGGGCTTTTGACCTTAGGGCGACCATTGACATTGTAAGAAAATAAGGACTGAAATTTTATTAATGTTCTTCTGTGAAAGCCAAAAATACTCCATTACCAAATGCATACATTCTTCCAGATATTCAGTAATGGATTTGCAAAACGATTGGGATTTTTCATTTCCCTGATGGAGCTGTGCCCCCCTAAAATATCAGTCTCCAAATTCACAGCAATTTTAGATGAATAAACACTGCAAGAAGGCCAGGAAGAAACACAACTCAATCCTGTCCTTTCTGCCTACCTTGGCAGGCCTCTGCAAAGGGGATGTGGGCAAGATGCATCTAGGGCTTATTTATAAATCATCAGGAGTGAGCATTCTCAACTTGTATGACTAAGGTCTCACCTCGGGGTACAAGCGTATTAATTACAGTCTTGTTCTAAGCATAGCGCTTAAGACTACAAACATATCTAGCACAAACATTATTAAAAGATAGGGAAATAAATCTATGGGTACAAAGCTTGTTCAACAATATTTGGGTTCTAGCACTGCATTGCTGGCATTGTTACCAACCGGAAAGGCTTGGTTTTAGTTTCATCTTGTCCTTTGTCTGAACATCTGATGCCAGCAGACGTGATCTTCATCCATCCCTTTTGCTCCTGCCCACTCAAACAGAGTGTATTTGCTCTGAATCATAATGCAATGCCCTTTTGCTGACTGACATGGACCTCACAAAGAGTATCTGAACAGATTCCTTCTGAGCTACTTGTGCTTGGGGTCACAGCTAAGACAGAAGAGGGGTAAACAGCTTCAAAGAAAGTTATATAAGATAATCAAGGTTACTATGACTATTGTACATCAGCTGAAATTAACTGTACAAAATTTATCATGGCTCTTTGTAGTTTTTGCCAATCACTCATCTCCACTGTGACTGGTGAAATAAAAACGGCTCCTTGTTTCTGACTGAATTTGACCTGGATTAGTTTTTAGCTGCTCATTCTCATTGTTTCTCCTCTACTTTAAAGAGCCTTTTAATACCTAGTTATTCTGCATATGAAAACTGTAATGACATCATCTCTCAGTCTCCTTTCTTGGCAAGCTTACCAAGAAAAGTTGACTATCTCTCATCATATCACATTGTACCCAATTTTCACAGAGTTTTCGGAAGAACTTTTTTGCATATTCTCTGACTTTTGAACATTGTTAACACCCAGACACCAGAAATAGACAGATGCAACCAATGACACCAAAACAGAAGGAAAGTATCCTCTCTGTTACTATTCACAGCTCCTATTTTTTTATGTCCACAAATCCCATAAGCAGTTTTTGCAAACAGTAAAAAAAAAATTGGACACCCCTGTTTTGTCACTTCTTAGATTGCCTCCAGAGTCACTGCATCCCAGCTACAGTTGCCATACTATAAGACTGTAATACTGTATTCCTAATTCTTAAAGCATTTCTTTGTGTTAGCAGTGCAACACACTGCTGAATGGACTCAGGTTCCCAGTCAGTCTAGCTCACTCTGAGGAATGGTTCTGTCCTTAGAGTTATTTACTTCTCCATTAGTCTCTGCGTCAGCCATAGATTTTATTAGAAGTGATTTTGCTGGGAAGAGTCACAAGTACTTACTCTAGGCAATGAGGGATGTACTCACTTTGGGCAATGCAGGGATAAGGTCTTTCTGAGAGTGAGGCAGAATAGCTAGATTAAGTTCCTGCCTGAACCTCCCGCTGAAGGACCTGATCTCTCTAGACAGTGAGCCTAGGGAAGGTCTCCTGAGGCTGAAGTGAGCCTTTGTGAACAGCCTCACGCGTACCAAGATTACTAATGGAAATCAGGAAGAACATGAAACCAAGTGTCGATTCCTGGAGACCTTCCTCCAACCATGAGAAAGACCCATTGGAAGATGCTCGCCTTGACCACTACCCTTTGTAGTCTACCAGCTAACCCGTTCTAATCCATTCATATATCCTTTATTGATCTAGTGCTTTATTGTTGCTTTGAATAAGATGCTGCAAAAAGTCAAACATCTTACATCAAAAGTCCATTATACCAGTGGCCATCTTTATTGACTAACTTAGTAATCTTGTCAGTGAGAGAAAATGAGTTTGCCTGCAGGACTGATTTTCCATAAAATCATGCTGACAGTCATTAATCATATTCCTCTGTTCTAATCCTTTAACAATTGACTCTCATCTCAGCACTTCTGTTACTCTGCTTGTTAGTGACGTCAGGCTAATCACCCTACAATCATCTCGGAATTTCCCCTTGCTCTTTTGAGCACTGACAGTTTAGCACTCATGAAGTCTTGTGGAATTTCATTACCAGTCCAGAAAAAGATTTACATCAGTAAGACACAAATTTATGCAACCAGGCATTTCACTGCTTGAGAGTGCAAATTATTTGGACCTGCTCATTTAAAAATTACGTATTCAGAGTAAAAACTGTCTAATATGTTCCTTGACTGTCAGTGAATGGAAAGTACTTCAACACCCCATACAATATGATATATATACAACATATTGCTTGTTTCCAAGTTCTGAGCAGAATTCACTAGTGAACACTTTTTCCTTTTTTTAATCAATAATTTCATTGCCTCTGCCCAGTAATGGCCTCTCCTTGGATTAGGGCTTTTTTTTTTACTTTTTGGCTTCTAATATCCTTACACTAACTAATAGCCTTTTGTCCCTTCCAACTATAGATTTTTCTCTGAGGTTGTTTAGATTTGTTAATTATTTTTTACCTCTTGTAACTTCTAATGGAGGTTTCATTAATTTCAGAAATAAGGTATCCAGAAATAAGGTATCTCAATAGCATGGCAAATTTTTAAAAGGAGATTAGGAAATATCTGCCTTTCTGCAAGTCAAACTGTAGGACCCACCTCCGTGCCTCAGCATACCACAGAAAAAGCTTCCGTGGACAGCAGACGGTGGCTACACCGAATGGGAGAGAAAAACATGTCCTTCTTGGATTTATCAGTAACACACTGGAGTTACCTTTAGAAATGTAGGCCAAAGTAGCAACATGCCTCAAAAAGCATTCTTCTGCACAGTTTGAAATATCTTCCAAGGTGTGCTCCTTATATTTCTGCTATGGAAGTATTGTAAATTAGAGGAATGACAGTGATACTTTAAAAGACTTTTTGAGAGAATCATCTCCTCTTTCCCCTCCTTTGTGCTAGTCCCAGCTGTGGCACCAGAGAATGGATTTTCTGCAGAACAGCAGTGACTTTTCTGTGTGCAACTCCCAGCACGTTCCTGTTCCCAGGCTGCTGCTTTCCCTCTCACAGTTTCCTTTGCACAGTGACCAAGACTGAGTTAAACCTGGTTACAACTAATCCTCTGGGAAGGGAGGAGAGTTAGCTCCAAAGCCCCAGTTCATCGTGCAAGCATACGGTTGCTTGTGCTGCCCCAAGAGAAAGGCTGGCACTGAGTCAGAAATGAGGGACCGCAGGCAAAGGGCAGGTGGGAGGGCTTCTGGTGGCAGTGCACTTAAAGCACTCACCAAGCTATGACCTTAATCTGCTGTTTCCCACTCGTGTCTCTGGGTATCTTTTGAATTATTCCTCTCTTCCAATGAAGCATCTGCTGTGAACACCTTAAATAAGGCGAAGGATAATACAGGCCCCTGATACACTCAGCTCCCGCTGGCTTGACACATTGCCACTTCCCACAGATCCGTGAGTGACTGCTTATCTGCCTACTGTTTCTCATTACCTGCTGTTTATACTTCCCTAGTTTTCTATCTCCATAACAACGTTAATAGCCAAGCTAATCTGAATTCAAGTTCTCAGGGCAGATTTTCAGAGACAGTTGCAGCATTAGTTGCTCCCAGAGCTCTGTAACTCCGTCCGAACCCACAGGCCAAGGTCCTGTGATGAGAGGGAGTTCAATAAATTCTTGTCTTCACTGTAGGTGGTTGCAATCACGTCATGCAAGCTCACATGATCATGACTATGGTTGTTTGGCCAAAATAGATTATGGCAAGAAGGGAGCCTGTAATCTCCCCTAAGAAAGCATCTGGTAACGTTTTTTAACACAATCAAACCTATCTTCAGTCAAACTCCTGCCTAACGAAATCTGTGCTAAAGTCACCAAATTAATTCAAAGGAGCAACATAACATCCTTGAAACAGCACCAAAACTCAATCACTAGTTGATCAACACAATAACTCTGAATCCAAAAGCAATCACTTACTGATCTGTGTCTTGAAATACAATTCTCATGAAATGGTGCTTAGAGCTTTTACAACATTGCCAAACTCCAGAGCTCTGCACAAGTATTGTAACAAGTTATTAATGCAGCCTCGCTAGGAGGCTGAACATAGTCAAGCAAGCTCAGACTGAGAGGACTTTTCAAGGACTGCATAGGAAGTCAACAGTGAACCGTTGGCTGGAAATAAAGGACAAACTGTGCACCTTTTCAGTTTTCCATAAAGCCCCCAAAGGCCTGTGAATATCAATCGATTTACCAGCTGGCGGAGGTAGTCCTGAATTGTGCTGGGATAGACAAGTACGCTGATGGCAACCAATGTGTTGAGAGCAAAGTCAAAGATCTGGTAACAGAAGAAAGGAATGATCCAAGCTGCATGTTGCTAAAAAGGAAATAAAATAAAAACTTATCAGCCACAAGCTAAAAAAGAAGCAGACATTTCTTTTTGCACTAAAATCTGAAGAATATTTGACAGAATGCAGTGTTACATTTCATGAAACCGTAACAAAGAAATAACTCTGTAAATGAGCTAAAAGAAACACGACAGTCAAAAGAGTTGGACAAGCCAGCTTGGCTGCTAAACTGCTATAATATGGATGGTGTAAGTCCCACAGCTCATTTAACTGTGACATGTAGACACCACATAACATTGCCCTCACTTTCTTGGACTTCAGCCTTTTTTTTTTTAATTAATGGGATTAATATTGGTACAAACCCCAAGTTTAGGATGTGAATGGGAAAAAATTCCCTGAACTTTTATAGGAACAAGATTCAGTTCTCTAAAATCACAGCTTGCCCAGAGCTTACTTATATTTGAAACTGTGGACAGCAAATATAACAGAAGGCAGTCGTCCTGCCTTCAGCGTGGGGCTGTGAGATACCACAGATTTAAACAATCAGTTCTATCTCTTGTTTTTTTCCCTGTTTTCAACTAAACAACAACTAAACGAGAAATTGTTAGGAAGTACTTTTCTTAATGTTGTTTCTACAGAGTTTTATAAGTCACTTGATTCATGCCTTTACTGACCATAATGAATTACCTTATATGCTCCATATGTAGCCATTGCACAGATCAGAATCATAAGGAGAGAAATTGCTGTAGCTATGCACATATCTGGAAGAGAAACATATCAAAATGATTGCAGATAAATACAGAGCTTACTTCTGTTATTTTGCCATCTGCCTCGTGCAGTGCATCTTGAAGAGCAAGATGGTCAAGTGGGGTGGAGATGGGGGCAAGTAGATCATTCAGCCTACACTGGATGAAATCTCTGGCTCGTGTGGGAAACCTCCCAAACAAAATGAGAAACAAAGAACAATAGCAGATGAACACATCACACTGCACAAGCATCTGCAGCCTCTACCAGGCTGGAGAGATGCCGTGAATATTTTCACTTTTCTAAAGGATTTTCAACAGTGGGGGGAAGACTTGACTAGAAGATTATTTTGCCTGTGATGATGACATATACATCCACAAAGCATCTGAACTGTACTGAACAGGTGACCATCACAGATAAATCTGAGCTTGCCAGACCCACATGAAGCTCAGCAGGAGCCAGCTGCCTGGCTATTACCCAATGCCTCTGGTACATTTACACCCTGTACTGAACTCTGTCTGCTGTGACAGGGCTCCCAGCAGCAGCACAGCTCAGGAACTCCTTTCCCTTCTTCGCCCGCCATTGTGGACATGTCTCTCAGTCTAAAGAAATTCACAGCCTTAAAAGTGATGTCCCTATTGACCTAAATAGCTAAGTTCAAATTAACCTTAGCAAGACCAGGATCTTCTCATTATTGCCGCTCTTACTCTGTGACTAACCTAAAGGATGGCCAAGCTAAAATGGGTCTGGAAACAAACAAAAAGAGAATACACACCATAGTTTGTTTTGGTTGCTATGCACCATTGCTCACATATCTGTAAAAACTTCAGAAAAGCAGAAAGGAATTTTTAAAAGAAAAACTGGACAAGGCAAGAAGAGGCATCTTAGAGTAGAAATCCTGGAAATTTTAATTTCAACTGAGAATACCACAAAGTTATACAGTTTATTAATAATATAAATGCATGACTACAGTTTATTAATAATATAAATGCATGACTATCTTAAAGTAGTTTAAGAAGCAAAATACTCTTTAAGGTTTTGATCAGAGCAATTACAGTACTCCTGTCTTTTTCTTCTATAACCACTGAGCTTTCAGTTAGCTTCTCACTACATTTTAGGAGTTCCTAAGCCACGATATGCTGGAAGGAGGTCCTGGGAGAAAAAAGTAACATTTGGCCTTTTCCTATAGACCTCCCTGGATACCATTACAGGCTGTAGTCAGAATGCTAGAAGAAAGAATGTATTTCTGAGCCTGACATTGCACTATTTGGGAATGCAACTAAAAGCTGCATCTACTTTTCAGAGACTAAGACAGTGTACAAAGAGTAAAGAAGATGTAAGGTATATGGGACATAATCTCTAGAATTTCCAGCTGGCCTGTGAGATATCTGCTGCTTACAGCTCTGTTACCAGGTGCATTTAAACTACCTTCCCTGATGAAGCAGCAGGTAGAATTGGGTCGTACTGAAGTACAAGACAGATATTCAGACAGTTCACTACCCATCATTGTCTGACTTTAGAGGCATTTAAGGTGCTAAAATGCCTCCATTTGATCACAGAGTTGCCATGGCAGCTAAACATGAATTCCAGCACATGAGGCGTATGCATCCCATAGCTAAAGGACGCCTCCCTGGTTGCAGCAAGATGTGGTTGTGTGTAGGTGCCCTCAAGCCTGCAGTGAAGTCTCTCAAAGGGTCTGGCTGCTAGCCACAGAGCAAACACTTGAATCTTTGTATTATTATCAAAATAAATAACTTGTGCCACTGGCAAATCTCACCCAAGAGAGAGGCTCCCTGCACTCAGTTCTGAGTTTAGCTGCACCCTGGCACTCAGTGTTTCCTACCAGGTGGCTTTAAACGGCTCATTTTGTGGACGCTGGGAACTGCCCTATGGAGGCATCTGGCCTCCCTGCTTATGATTCAGAAGGGGCTGACACCTCGTTAGTGCATCCCAAATTGCTCTTTGGAGGAACTTCCTTCTCCTCATTGATTGTACAGGGAATACTGATATGCAGCTTAGGCATCTGAGTTATATCACCATGACCACTCTCTAGCTTTTTAGGTGCTGTAATAGGTGTGCTGTGTGCCTATTACAGGTAAGCTGAATCCTGCCCTCGAGAGAGAAGCACCTAAAAAACAAGCCTGTGCTAATGGATGTCACCACAGTCTCCCCACACTCTTATTTATGCTGTCAGTTACTCTAATTGCCCCATACGCATCATGTGGAATCAAAATGATTTTGAATAGACCAGGTACAACTAAGATAATGAAAGAAAAGTGGAAATGGTTGCTTACAGCCACTAACCTCAACTGAAGCTCTTGATAAAGATACTCTTGGATCAATTTTGTTATTTTAAGTCATTAGTTTGAAGGTACTGCTCATTTATTTATTCCATCCATTCTTAACCCCAGTCACCTATTCACTGTTTCCAAGGGGAAGCTGCTTCATTGTCAGTGATGGCAGATGCAGTGGAGCTACAGGCCTTGCTTTGCTTATGATCATGGCGGTACTGGTTCAAAGCCAAAGCCTAGTAAATTGTTATAAACTTGACTTTCAGGCTTTGATCTGACACACTCGTGTTCCCAGTCTTTTCTGACTCTCTAGCTGTGCTCTGCCATGCCAAGTCCTACTCAGCTCAAGCTGGTTCTTTCTCTTAAGACTTCACTGGGTTTATTGAGCTATGTTGGCTTAAATTAATGAGAATGAAACTAGGTATGCAGCACACTAAATGAGAAGCTGACAGGCGTGTGCGCTTTTTTGTAGCAACTGGCCTTGCTGTACTGTCCTTGCTATTCACGACTAGAACTGTATTTGGACAACCACAGTATTTTTATGCCCTCTTGTTTTTGATGGCTTTTCGAGTTTTTTTTTTGTGTTTCAAAGAAACCAGTTGATTCTTCTTCCTCTTACATTTTGCAGTGAGAGCCTACCTTCTTGCCTGTGAGGACTCCCACTTCCTACTTCAGGGAGAAGATGCTGCTGGTGCTGAGCAGAGCTCCTGCCACGTCACGCTGACTTGCACGGAGCAGCTCAATACACCCAGGCAGTGCAATGGGGGGAGCAGGACCTGACGGAGAGGTGGGAAAGCAAGGCTGAGAGCTCCCCTGCCAGAAGTGCGAGCCTCCCACTGAAGCCAACACGGGAGGCCTCCCACTGCAGGAGCTCCTTGCTGGCCCTTCTTGCAGATAAGTTTCCTGGCCAGCAAGAGCTGCCTTCCTCCCTTCGTCTCCCACCCAGGAAGGGTGGTGGCGGCTGCTGCAGCAGCAGAGAAGCAGCGAGGAGCAGCCGGGGGGGCCGGTCCCCGAGCCAGGATCAGTGTGGAACGGCAGAGACTTCACATCTCCAGCTCATCACCTTCCCCAGCCCTGGAGTTCATTACTGGCTTGTAGCTCCTATAGCAGAGTCTAAAAAGATCCTGACCAGCAGTCTACAATCCTCAGATAGCTTTGGACCACCCTCACCAAGCCTTTATTTACCTAGTAGCCTGGTGTCTTTCCAGCTAGCTAAGGGTTATTTATTCCCTCTGTATATCGTCCAAGCTGCTGTGTGAGCTCCGTCCTCTCCTCCTGGCGGCCGTGGGCCTGACGGCATCGCCGCCCTGGAGCAAGCTGTGTCTCAGTGGCATTTTGTCCACAAGATAGGAGGGAGGCCAGTTTCCTCACCTTTGAGCCCAGCTCATTTCCTCCAGAGGATGAGGCTAGACAGGAAGATGCAGCCCTGAACAGGCCAAGCTGGGGCAAGGATTTGGTTTTTTCCTCTCCCCATGTCATGGGGCTTATGCTACATTGGAGATGCTGATGGAGAGGGGCAGGAGAGGACTTGCTCTACAATTTCCCTCCAGCCCCAACAGAAATTCAAGCCTGCTATCTGTAGGCTTTCTTGTAAACACATTTGAATTCATCTTTTTAGGTCCCAGATGCATGTCACGCTCTCCAAAGAGACCATCAATCAGTGTACCCTGCCTTTCGTTCCCTTGGGCCCCACACAGTCCTCTCAGTTGTCTCATTTGCACGTCCCCAGGCAGGGACGCAGGCTGATTTTGGCCTGATTCGCTGGAGTTGAAGTTCCCATCAGTTTCTACAGGGCACACAGAGCATTTCAATCCTGGTTTTCATATGGTTTATGAAGTGTCACATACATCTGCGACACTGCGTAGTAGTAAATAAAAACAAGCAACGCAGCTGCTGGGCCGTTAAAATGTCAGGATCACAGTCTGTATATCTGGACAAGCTGAGCAGGAGCTCAGGTGAAGACCTCAGGAAAGACAAGACGATTTATAGGGCTCTTCCATCTTCTGCACAGAGATTATTAGTCTTTTAACAGCAGAGATATAACACTGGGTAGTAATCACATTTCTAGTGTTTCCTAGTCCAGCTTCTAGTTCATAAACTCCCTCAGGCTCTAAGGAAACAATAACAATAAAAACAAGACTAACTGGACTCAGATGAATGTCCAGTACAGTAGGAAGCCTGGAGTTTTCCCTAGTTCCCAGAGGTAAGAGAGTCAGCCAAACCACACACACTGGTGTCCTCCCAGTACATCCATCTGCCACATGGCAAATCTTTGCAGGTTTTTTTTTTTTTTGCCATTGTTTCCTTTCTAAAATAGAAGGGAAAAGCGATAATGTACTGCTGCTTATAAGTGCTCAGGTAAACACTTCCTCTGCGTAGAAGAAGAGTCATTTCAGACCCTCTGGTAATGCCATAGGAAGCGTGCTAAATCCTGAAATTATGGATGAGCAGTCATTTGCAGAAGAACTGATGCTGCATGGGCATTTTCAGACATTTTGCGCTAGACTGGCTCTGCTTCTCTGCATGTGACAGGAATTTTTCCCACTCCAGTAACAGAAGTTTGAAAATACTCCATAAACCAGGCCTATGCACACTTAGAAATAAATATGAATATAAATACTAAAGGAATCCTGGTTTCCTGAAAGTCAATGGCAAATCTGTCACTAACTTCATGTGAGCCATAATTCCACTACTATGACGCAGTTGATATAAGTTTATTTTCGGGTGATATTTTCAGATGTTATGTCAAAGAGCCTATCCAAAGAGGGATGGAAAGGGAGTGACAATTTTTCATGCAAAGTCTGTGTCTACTTTTTTTTGTTTGCTATTGATAGGGGCATCAAAAGTAGTATTGAGAATAATGGCTACTAATATTTCTGTCATTATTATTTGTCAGCACGAGTACATACAGTTAACAACTTTAGGACTTTCATTAGCATAAATATGGATGTATCCTGTAGTCTTAACTTGTTGTGTTTTGAGTACATGATTTCATATAAGAATTTCAGCATATGTAACAAACCTAGGAAACGTCTTCAGAAAAAGACAAATAAACACAGGACAGAAGAAGAACATGTAAAAGTTTGTCTGACGGTTTATCTCAAAAAGAAAATACTTCCTCAGATTTGAACAAATGTAATCATACTGTAAAAAAAAAAAAAACCTAATTCTCTCTTGCCAGCTATTTCCAGTAACTATAAAAGCCAGTAGCCTGATTCAGCTGCCTTTACTCAGTAAGGCATTAAACCTGAGGGAGTCAACGAATAAAAGGAGACATTAATTCAGATGTTCATTTGTAATTTAACTTCCTGGGAAATGTTCCCTTTACCAAATGGAAATGAGGTTGCTTGGCCCACAGGCCATCCTTTTACTGTCTTTCAGGGTTCACTTCAGAAACCTCAATAAAAGATACAGAAAATACAATTTTCAAATGTAGATGGAAATCCCCAATGTACTTGATCTGACAGCTATAGCATTACAAAACAGAATTACTATTTTAAAGCCTTGGGCACTGGCAGGCCTCTGATGTCGGCTATATAAAACCACACTGACAGACAGTCATTACCAAGGTTAATCTCTGAGAATTAGGACAAGGCAGTCAGTTTTAATATGTCAGAAGCAGCTAGGAGCTCATCTGTATCTACTGTGGTCCTTACTTTCTTAAACCCAGTTATATAAAAAGATTTTTATTCATAAGTTGTAGGTGCTTTTTTTCAATCAAGACAAGTAAAGTAGCAATTGCCCCTATGCCCTCCAGTTATCCCTTAACTCACGCCCAGGAGCTCTGACATACCATGGTCATAATTATTTTTCTCATGTGTGGAGCTGTTCCTTCTCCTGCCGATATTTTTATGGCCTTCAGTAGGAATAATGAAAGAGCTTAAAACCTTTTGCTGTGGATGTGTGTCCTTCTGAGCAGCAAGACACCACTGTAACTAGTATAAGACCTTATTTCAAATTACAGTGAGAAATGTTGAATGTATCAATCTTACGAGTAGAACTGCAGGCATTTTTATCAAAATCACATAGAGGAGAAAGTTTTCTAGACACTATTCAAAAATTTAAAACAGACAAACAAGCAAACAAACCTAAGTGCCATCAAATCATTTTAAACATTAATGGAAGAAAGAAGCATTTTTCCTTACAAGGAATAGGAATTTTTTGTAGGAGATATAGATGGGCCTGGATCACCCTTCCCTGAAATCATATCTAGGTTTTGCTACATCCTTTGGTGAGTGAAGGAAGCAGCTCTGCATTATCACTAATACATCTATGATTATATGGTTAATACTTATACTTGCATCTATTACAACAGGCTTGCACAAGTCATGCTAGATGCACGAGGGGTGCGTAAATATGCACAATGGGAATGAACACGTTCAGACACTTATATAAACAGCAGCTTGTATCCTTATGCATGTGCAGGCACTAAAGGACATGCTGCTTGGAGGCCCAGAGACTCCACATCTCCTGCAAAATCCCACTGAGGGGTTCCAGCATCATTCGAGGGATAACATCTCCTTGTCAAGGGGTGGCTCTGTCCTCAACGAGTCACATAACAGCATAGCAGATAAGATTACTAATATAACAGACAAGGTTACTAATAGGTATCCTTTTTGAACTATGCCATAAATGCACCTTTCACAATAAAAGTGTAACTGCAAGATACCAAGACGAAGAAATAATTAAAGCACAATAATTGTTGAAACGATAGGATAGCTACATACATGCTAGAGAGCAAAGAGCGCTTATAGTTAAACATTATGTACTTACTGGCATCATCCATAAATTCGAATTCACCCCCCAGCTCAGCACTCGTTAAGTGGTACTGGTCAGGATCAGTCAGGGCGCTCAGCAGGATCAGCAATACCACCGAATTGATAATCTACAGAGAGGAAGAAGGAAAAGGGTCAGGCTGTGAAAGTACTCAGTGAAAACACTCTGGGCAGGATACGCCCACTGCAGGCTACACTAACTATGGCAGAGGCTGTGTTTTGACTGCAAAACTGTAAGTAGTTAACTGACACGTTAATTAGTTTCTCTGGATTTGCATAAATAGGGTATATTTCTTCCCCAAGTGGCAGGAGAACGAAACACAGCATAGGCTACCCCTCTTCCTTCAGACTCCCTCCTCACAACATCGGACAAGTTACCACTGCTCTTTCGGGCTGTAAAACATGTTAAAACATCCACCTCAGTTTGCTCTGTTGTAAGAACTAAATCAATTACAAAGCAATCATTTTGAGATTATTATAAATGAGCGCTGTAGTCAACGATTATTAGCGTGGCAGAGCTGGAACTGATGACATGTCCTCTTAAATTGCTAAATGGTCAAAGAGGAGCTGATTTGCTGGAAGAGACCAAATTTTAAGAGAGGCTGTGGGAGATGAGCTGATTCACACGAACCTCCTAAATCAGGAGGCCCAGGGAGCCAGGAGTAGGTGGCAATATTAGGCCAATGTCTGATGCTCATTTTCCTATGTCACATGCCACAGAAAGAAATTCACATTCACCAAGACTTTGTATATGAGATGCAATAAGCGAACAAAAAGTAAGAAAATAATAGAGAGTGAGAAAATTAGCAGAAACCCATTGCCAAGTATCAGACATCAGAGGGATGCAGAGGTAGGCAAGAGCTGTATTTTGAAACAGATCTGAACAAAATGCTCTTATCACATTGAGCTGAGTAGGACTAACTGTAGAAAAAAAGATTGCTCAGCATGAAATAACACAATCTGGCTAAAAGATCGAAGATCTCCAGAACTAGTAAGATAACGGATTAACAGGAAAACTATTAAAAGAAAGCCAGTAATAGAGTATGTTGGGAAAGCTGCGTTTGTATTGCTTTGGTTCTCACTTCGAAGTTATCCCAATCTGACCACAGGTTACTAGCAGCAACAAAAAAGAGTAAGAACATAGGCTATAATAAGACATGAACAGGCTATCTTGGGTAAGATAAACGCTTTTTGACGGATAAATTCCATCAAGTTCAGCCAATTTCAGCTCTGTTGTTTAATTACTTTAAAAAATAATTTTTTAAAAACAGTTGAGCATAGGTTGGATTCACAAGACAGGGAAAGGCCAAGCACAGTTTGTCCCTTTGTAAAGAAGAAAGGCCATGCAAAGAATTCCTGGCTAGATTGTGAGATTTAAGAATAAAGGAGCCCAAGAACAAATAATCAAGCAGTCTCCTTGATGGCACTCATAACTGGTATGGTCAGAAGCAACAACTAGCATGGATTTGTCAAGGATAAACCATGCTAAACTATCCTATTCTCCCTCTCTGACAGGCTAACAGGCCTTACAGACAGGGGGAAAGTGTCACATATGGTCTCCTTCCATCTTCACAGGACTTTTGACATTATCCTTTATGAGATTCTCATAACTGAGCTAGGAAAACCTCAACAGGTGAGCCCCCAACCAGGTGGACAGCTGCAATGAAAGAATAGTTCTCACGGATTCACAGCCAACATGGAAGATACATTGAATGGTGTTCTCCAGTGTTGTGGAAATACTCAGCATTGTCACCTGTGACTTGTATCTTCCTTTAATTTGCAACCAATGCCAAGCAGTAAGCACTGTAGGAGATGCAATTAGAAAGATTTTGATCAACTGTAGCAGAAGCCTGAGATAAATAGAGCATAATTTAGTAAAGATAAGTGCAAAGCATCACATTTGTGACAAACAGCTGCAGACATACAAGAGGAAAAATAACTGAATAGGTAACAGTTCTTCAAAAAGCTGTCAGGGTATGACAGTGAATAATCTCTGACCGTGACTCAGTGCCATCCCGTTAGCTCCTCTGGGCAGCTGCGTCACACTGAGCAGTACAGCAGGAACATGGGTGTTAGACTTGCATGACAACCTTCCCTTTGCCTGTCAATGGGGCCCCTGCAGGACCACAGCGTCCCCCTCACAGGGCTTCAGGAACTTACCTAGAAGGACCCTGGGGAGGATATAACCACAAGAACAGAGGGTCATCGGGCTTCCAAAAAGCATGACTGGCTGGGAGAAAACTGCAGTTGTTTAGGCTAGTGAGAGAAGATGGAAGGAGATGGTGGGATGATGGAGTTTTTCATATGGGGGAAGGTAAGGAAAAGAAGAAAGTATTAAACCCTTCTGCAGATACACTGGGAGATGAGCAAAATAACACATTCAAATTACAGTAAAAGGAGATTTAGGTTAAACAACTTGCTGAGCAGTAAGAATAATCAGGCATCAGAAAAGATTGTCTAGGGGTGTTAAGGAGTCTTCATCACTGTATTTTTTTATAGAACACTTAGATAACTTTGTGTTGGGAATGCTGTAGCCATAGATGGTCTTGTCGTGGCACTGAAGATGGATCAGATGATCTTCAAGATCCAAACTTACATTCCATAAGTCCTCTCAATTTCAAACATTACTGATAACTTTAGACTGCAATCCAGTTATTGCTTTATATTCTTTTGTTGAAAGCTAGAGGACAGATGCCAGGAATAAATGTTACTTAAGAGGAGTACTCACAATAATCAAGCAATCAGGAACTACAAATGTATACAATGTTGCTTTTTTAAAGGCATACAAGTTTAATCTTTTGTACAGATACAGACAGAAAGATTCATAAAATACTGATCTACGCACTCTACTTTCTCCATTTGGACATGTCCAGATTCAGAGTACATATTTGTCAGTGCAGTCTTTGTGTCTCTCTTTAAAATACAGGATGTGTTTGCTTAATCTAAACCTTCCCGCAGTCAGTGGGACTCTCTCTAATGCCGTCAGTGCATCACGTTTCTAATCGATCAGTTTTTTATCCTGAGCTCCTCATAATGGTGTTTGAGCACCTTCCAGCTGTACTGTCAGCAGACCAAGTGAAAAATACCATGTATTTATTCTCTCAACCTCTTTCTCAGAGAAGAAATTGTGCACAGTTGGATGTATTGTATTTGTTTTTTGTTTTGAAAGTGATGCAAACTTTGAATTTTGAATGATGCTTTAACACAGAAATTTAGTATGCCTAAAAACTTACTGATGTAGCATCTTCCTAGGAGACATAACCAAGCAAAAGAGCCTAAAGTGATTCGCTGCTGGTCTATGCAGTTAGTATGAGGGCTGAAATCTCCGTTCTAGGAAAGCCAAAAGGAGGTTTTTCTCCTCTCTCAGTAGGGCCAGGATTTCCTCCAAGATATTTTATATTCCTTCAGTAACAAATAATGTCATGACTAATCAACATTATGCAATGTTTCAGTAAGAAATTAAGCCCTTGTGCCTCCCTTATGACGCACGTTGTCCTCCTTTTACAGATGGAAAAATGGACATATGCTCATGAACATGCATCAGGCTGGTGTTCAGCAGCGAGAACAAAATGCAAGATTTTCCACTGTCCCTGCTACCCCCCAGCCTCCCTCACTCTGCCCAGCCCTAGACCTCCATTTCAGCCAGCCCGGGGCCCTCTGTCCCTGCCCACCACCTTGCAGCGGTGTCGGCTCCAGCCCCGGCTCCTGGTGGACCTCTCAGAAGCACGTTGTAGCTTGTCTCCAGGACCGTTTCTGGCCCCATCCCCTTTTGCTGCTGGACGGCCTCTGGCCCTGGTTCAGCGTTTGCCGTGTCAAGGGCTACCGATGGACCCCCTTGCCAGCCCCCAGCTCAGCCCTGTGGGACGGTGCCTGTCGGTGCCAGCCCAGCCTGCGCGGTGCACCCTCATCCCAGCTCACCCCCCTTGGGAGCAGCCCCGCTCCTGCTGTTCCCTGATAGGCTTTTTCTTAGAGGACAAATTCATCCCTTTTTTTGGGAGGGTGCCTGAAAAGGAACAAGTGAAATGGCACTATCCTCTCAAGACCTTGCTCTCTTTGGCTCTGCTTGCAGACAACTTAGCACAAACGTGGCTGAGAACGAAAATGTGAAATTGTATTACAGCAAAGCACTGCGTTCTGCATAAAAACAAATAGAGGAGAGTGTTACGGATAGTTGTTGTGAGATAGGGTGACTGATTTCGGGCCAAAGAACTAGCTCTTGAGAGGGACCAAGAGTGTCCTGACAAGAGACTGCACATGGGAGAAGGCTCCCACACATAGTCCTAAAAATGCCCAGCTGTCCTCTTGCCCTAATACAGGAAGAAAAAAAAAAAAGTCATGCTGCTCTGGCAAACAGATGAAATAAACATATACACCTTCTTGTCAATGTAGAGGAGGAAAAGAACACAGTGCTTTTCACAGACCTCAAAATGTCTAACGAAAAGAGAAAAATGGATTTCTCCCACTACGTACAACAGGAAATATCCTGGAAGAGACAGCTGGTCCAAACATTGAAACATGACTTGGATTTCCTATTTTGGTCTTATAAAACATGATCGCAAAATTGACTACAAGATATTTTAAATAGCAGCAACCACGTGTGACAATGTGTACACAGGCCTGAGAGACAGGCGGCACGTGCTGCGAGCAGCACTGGCACCGCCAGCCACTCTTACTGCTTCGTTTCTGCAGCGATACAGACCTAGAGCTCGGCAGCTAGGTCTGGTCCCAGGGAGCTCTGCTAGAGGGAGCGTGCGGTGTTTTGGAGGCAGCGCCCAGCGTTTATAAACTATATAATGCACTAAAATTTCTCTGCCACCACAGTTAGTTATCTTCTTCGCCATATCACTTGCTTCAGAGATCAGCAGTAAACTATGGTGACCCACAGAGATAAAACAGAGGGGAAAGAAGAGGTCAGGAACCCCTGTACCAATAGGTGATGCGAAAATGAAAAACACAGTATCACTTCAGACTCTTCACAGATAACTGCAGGGTTGCACGGTATTTATCCCCTCTTATCTGAAATGAAACTAGTTCCAGTAGCTCCTAAGAACATACCACTAATACAAATCTTTTTCTGTTTTCTAACTCAAAATAAAATGGAGAAACACTC